AGTCATGGGATGACCTTCAGAAGCTTTGGTATGTTCTCCTGAAGGAAAAGAACATGTTGATGACTCAGCGTCAGATGCTTCAGGCTCAGAATCTACGGTTTCCCAACCCAGAGCGTATCCCGAAGGTGTATTTCTATATATGCATATATATACCACACATTTATATAATATTATTATAATATATATATGTTATGGATTCTATCCAAGTTATATGTTCTTGTCTAATCTAGAATCGACTTTCGTGTGCACGCAAAAACACACTAATCGTGAGAAGGTCCAGCGATATGGCTGTATCGCGGTGCTTGCAGATAATCCCGCTATATATAATTCCCGAATGTGCTTGAGCCTAAGTGGCAAGCTGTTGTAGGGGAATGCGTACGAATGGCAAGATAAAAGAGATACTCGCTCTCGATAAACCACACAAGAACAGATTTCTTATTTCATATTCAACTGAATAAAACAATAGATGGGGAACCCTTTAAATAAGATTCCTAAACATTATTCCTAACTTGTCCAACAAGACAAGGTCTTTAATAATATCTAAGCCTAACTTATTCTCCAAGATAATAATAATTAATAATAATAATAATAGTAATAATATTAATACTAATATTATTCTACACCATTCTCCTCCGGTTCGGAAGGCTTCGCCCTCGAAGCCGATGCGCTCCCTTGGTCGGCATGTGGTGTCGAACTCATGGTAGCAAACCCCGTCATTTTCCCCGGTCGAACACGAAGGTTGAATATCGCTCAACTTCACATAACAGATGGAGGATCAATCTTTAACCTCATAATATATTTTTTGTTCTTCAGGGAATTTCAAACATAGTCTCCAATTTATTATCTTGCGACATGCCAATGAACTACACCACAAGCTCGCACGCTTCAGGATCCTATGTGGCAAATTTTCGAGCTTTGGTGTTGGCTTGGATGAATATTAATTCATTTCCAATCCAATCCAACTAGGAACATCCATAAATATACAGTATATTTATGGTCCCTTTTAAAAGCATTAATTATTTTTTAGTTCTATCTTTTATTGTAGACGCGTTTTATATGGCATCATTTTTTTTCAATCTTTCTTTTAAAATTATAACAAATTTACAAACTTATAAATATATTAAAAAGTTAATATTGTTTTTATTTGTTAACAAATTTTTATATATAATATATCAAATTAGTCATGTATGAGCTTCGATTTATTATTTATATTATAAAAACAAAATAAATAAATAATTTTAAATATCTTTATAATTAAAATTGAATTACCTATTAATATTAATTCAAAATATAAAATTATTTAAACTAATTTAACAACAAAGTTGTTATCGGATATAAATTAAAATAAATTATAAGATAAGATGATAAACTGTGTAAGTGACAGTATCATTTAAAATATAAATAATAATAAATTTTTTTCAAATGTATTGAAAAACTAAAACAATTTTTTTATATATAATTTTTAACAAGTACCCGTGTAGTACACATGTATTGTACTAGTAGCTTATGAAACTTTTTGAGTATGCTGTCCCAAATATCTCTTTTATTTATTTATTTATTTATTTTTTTTCTTTTTGATAACGGATTTTTCATAATTGTGTTTTCATCATGTGCTCGCCAAGAAAAAAAGGCATGAAAACAAAACAAATGATGTGATGATTGACAAATACAAGTTTTACATGTTATCAATATCATAAGTTACTGTGGACTTCACTTCTTCGTTTGGTTATGCAAATTCCTTCCATCTTAATTTACAGCGAAAAACGATGAGCAGACCAAGGGTTATATATTCTCGAGTTCCAACTCTGTCACCCTCCTAATAAAATCCTTTTGCTCAATCCTGGTTATTTTACGATTCAACAGGTACGCAAGTCAATGTGCCGAATCAAGCATGTGCTGACTGAGAGAGCTATTGAAGAACCTGATCCTAGGAGGTCTGCTGAGATGAAAAGAATGATCAACGCCTTATAGTTGTCCGGCAGCCCTTCCCTGAGGCCATCTGATGATCCGAAGAGGTGTGAAACTCGACTAGTCCCTCCAGTTCATGCCTTTCTCGTTTTTAAATTAAGTAGAGCCTTGATAAATTGCGTTCGAATATCCTGTTACAATGTTAGATGCAACTGAAGTGGAATGCTTTAAGGTTCCCTCACCACTTGGGCATGCAAATAATTGTTTGTGGATTAGTATGATCCTTGTACTTGGTTGTTTTGAGCCCTACAATCATTTTTCCTAGGGACTATAAATCAATGGCTTCGAGATTACTAGAAGATCATAGTTTTCGGCTTGGGGGGAAACACTATTCGTAGTGTCTTATTCAAGGGTTGTTTGAACTATTATTATCATCATTATTGCAGGCATGAGCTGGATTAAGGTTGATGGTTCGGGTTTCAAAACCAATGGGTCAATAATGCAAGATGTGGATTGATGGGGACTATCATGATACTAACTTTAAGCTATCAACATCAAAATGTTGATCTCACCATTGAATGTTTTTTGGACCAATCATTTACATTTGTTCATCTAATTTAGGATACTGTCTGCACTGTAAGTTGGTTACATAGAGTAAAATGGATAGATCTATTGGATTTTTCATGTGCTAAATCACTATGGTAGCATTATGTTTTATCAATGTGGGAGCTGAGATTAACATTCTCAAATGACAATTAACCAATTGCTGTGGATTGGTCTGTACAATTTTTCCCAAAATGTTTCAACAAGTTAGTTAAGTGTGGTTGGTTCCATGAAAGACTATTTTTTTTTTCTCTCGCAGAAAGAAAAAGGGAAGGCAAGTAAACACATGCGATGCGTTCGATTCGAGTTAGTTTAGTATGGCAACTTCATTCTTATGTTGTATACTTGCAATAATGTTTGTAGTCCATTTAGGTTATTTTGGTCATAAAATAATAAATTTGAGAACATATATGGCAATTTACATTCGAGGTTATCAAAACAATCTGCCCGGCATCATCAGTTGGTTCAGTTAGACAGTGATAATGTATATGCTGCAATCCATGTAAACAAACATACTTTTACGTTGGATTGAAATCAGAAGTCTTGGATCAATCCATGTAAACAAACATACTGTAAATTTCGTGTTCGCATGTTTGCGCTCGATAACTGAAGCCCCAAGGTGTAAAATAACGCGTGAAGAGGACGACTTCCCGTGGAATTGAGGATCTAGAATTTTTTATTTTTTTTTTCAGCCATCCTTCTGGAGAACAGAAATGAAAATAATCGGGTCGGTTCAGTTATTTTTATTTAAACAAAAAGATAATATTTTTTTCCAGTTCGCTCATGTTTTTATTTCCTTTGCAAATGTATGTGTATTATAGGAACCACAAATATATATGCAGTATGCATGGTTTGTATGATTATATATACTAATCGGTTTTGCGTCTTGGTATTTAATATTTGTTTATTCATTTTTGCATTTCACTTCTCTTTTTTTAAAATATTTTTTGTATGTAAGTTGTCATTTTTTGAATGGTAACTCAAAACCGGTCATTGTCAATTGTTTATGATAGTTCGGTTACCCAAAGAACCAAATGAACCGAATCATTATAACATAGTTCAAATCTTGCGAATTTTCGTGTGTTAATCAAATCGGTTATTTTTTTCGGTTTTGGTTCGGGTTCCTGAAAATATGCTAGGAACAGAATTTGAGTTTTTCAAAAAATGTGTGATATGTCATTACTAAATTGGTTTGTTCGAGAAGGAAAGCGAACAATCATTTGAAAAAGCTTTACTAATTCAGCCAATGGCCACCAATTTGAGTTTTTCATAAGAGTGTGATATTGAATGAATATGTGTTTCTTTACTAAACAATTCCCATAAAATTTTTTCATGGAGCTGTTCAGATTTGTTATCACTTTAATTAAGTAACTCAAAAGATTTTTATAATTAACTTATTGAATTTTAATATCAAATTTTATTTTTTCAAAAAATTCTACTTTTATTGTTCTATACTTTTGTTTCTAGGGCAATTTTTTTGGTTATTCTAATATGGCAAACAAGGTCTGCTGTCAACTCTCACATTATCTTATAGTTTATGTTTATACTAAAATTGGGTTAATTATTTTGATCAGACACATCTGTATATTATTATCTATTTTTTTTGGTTCAGGGACCTTCCGGTTTCTGGATCCACAGGGGAACCGATTAATCCGGAATCGAGCTGGGTAGGACCACAAGGGCGGCAAAGCTCTCCCTCAAGAATTTTAACACTTCTGCATTCCCAGGGCTCGAACACGAGACCACTGATTAAGTTGGAAAAGACTCAAGCCATCTCATCCAAACGCTCTTAGGTTACATCTGTATATTATTAATTATTGCTCTTTCCATTTATTTTTTGGTACTTATTAAGTTGTTGCTGCGTGTTTGTTCAGTTTTCACAAGTCTGCTTGCCACCTAAAATAAATAAAAAAAAAAAAAATTCTGGAAAAATAAAATAACTAAAGTAAAGAAAAAATAATAAACCTATGATTTTTTTCACATTGATTTTGCTTCTCTCACGTTTTCTTCCTCTTCTTTATACTCCTTTCTATTCAATATAAATGTCGTTTTGACTTTTTTGATTCATCCATTTTATTATGTATCTAGACATATTAATGTCTAGATACATAATAAAATGGATGAATCACAAAAGTCAAAACGACATTTATAATGAACAAAGGTAGTAGTATATAATTTTTTGTTATATCGTTTGATAAAATATATTAAACTTGCATTTTTTTATGTGGAAATCATATAACATTGGTTCATAAAACTTTTGTTAAATAAAAAAACTTTTGTTCCTCAAATCCATTTACCTTTATTTAAGATTACCTCACTTCACTACAAAATTAAATAAAACTTAAATTTTTTATTTGTATCTGCCCTCTTTGAATTTATGCTCCAGTAATTAGCATGAAAAATTGCTACTACTGCACCATTTGAGCTACGACCTCTTTGGCGGCGCAGTCCCGAGTCCCAAAGAGTTCCGAGAGAAGTGGGCCCGGAAGATGGAAGACGAGGAGGACCATCTCTGGACCGCCAGCGAGGATGACGAACACGACGACCCCAACATCCGGCTCAAGAAGGACATCAAAAAGGCCAAGCAACGGGCCAGGGCCCGTTCCGACCCGGGGGTCGACGCTGATAACATTGACGAGCTCCGCAGCATCTGGTCCTCCGACAGCGACGGCGAGAAGTCCCTATGGACTGGCGACGAGGGGGACGACGAGGCCGATGCCCCCAGCGATCCCATTCCCAACGAGCGCAGTGACGAGTACATCGACCGGCTTTTCGAGTTTGATGAGAAACCCAAGCACCGGACGCTGGCCCAGGCGATGAGGGATGAAGAAGAGCGGAGAAGATGTCCCCAGGGAAGCGTGCGCGCAAGATGGCCGTGCAGAATGCGCTGAAGAAGTTGAGGAAGGGGCCGGACGGGCGGTATGTGAATGTTTGGGAGGTGATGAGGATTTGGATATTCTGATTGGGGCGTTTGAGAATATTGTGTCGGGGCCCGAGTATGAGGAGCTCAGGAGGGGTGGGCCTAAGAAGCTGAACATGGAGTTGACGTGCAGGCCAAGATGAGGGACCCCAATTACAAGTTCTCTCCCGAACTAAAGCTGAGGCCCAAGAGCGAGGGATGCGAAGGAGGAAGTGGGAGAAGGCACAGTCGAGAAGGCGTAAGGCACAGAGGAGGTAGATTTTTCTTTGTTTCTTGCTTTGTTTGTTGTGTGT